AACCAGATGGTGCCTGGTTACCACCACTGGCTGCTCTGTCAGGGAGTGCAATAGAGGGTCCCAGACAGAGTGGGAAAAAAATGTAGAACAAAATTCAAATTCACACACACATAAACACACACACACAAAGACCAGGCTTGCTGGTCTGACTGAGACTGGAGAGACCTCAAGAGTATGGCCCCCGGACACCTTTTTAACTCAGTATTGAGGTCACTCCTGAGGTTCAGTCTTCAGCCAGAGATGAGACAGGTCTGTAGGGCCAACGATAACACATGGGAGGGATGTACTTCAGAGTTCAATTAAGTTCACAAGACTAATGGGCACACCAACCCCAAAGCAAAGATAAGAAGGCAGGAAAGGATAGGAAAACTGGACAAACAGAAACAGAGAACCCGGGGTGGAGAAGGGCAGTGTTGACACATCGTGGGGTTGGCAACCAGTGTCACAATTTGTGTATTAACTGTTTAATGAGAAACTAATTTGCTCTGTAAACTTTCACCTAAATCACAATTAAAAAAAAAATCTCTAAAAAAAGAAAATACAGGGACTTCTGATTTCCACTTTGACTATGAGAGCTTGGAAGTTGTCACTTCTACCCTCCTAACAAACAAGAAAAAAGCTGAATAAACTGAAAACCAACAACTAACTCTTCTTACATCCTTCAGAGAATTGAGGTCCCAGGGCAAAGAGCTGCCCGGAGAACTAGGGACGGAAATGCAGAGAATCACAGAGTTCCGGAGCAGAAGCCGCTGGGGCCAGGAACGGAAAGGGACGCTTACATGGTAATTGATGAGTTGCAGGAGGCTATGTGTGGATAGCATGAGAGAGAAAAATTCCTCGAGAGCAGTCTTGGGGGGGACCCCACACACTTCATGAGCTACCTTCAAGAGCCCCATCGGGTTTTTAGGATGAAGATCAGAGAAGAATCCCCTGCTTCCATCAGGAGGAGAGGAAAAGTAACCATTCTGAAATACGCCCAGAGCATTATGCTCTCAGTGACAGAGACCTACCCTCGGGGGCAACTGCTCAACTAGAGCTTTATCTGACATAGGGGAAGGGCTCAGCTCAGCAACCTTTAGCCTTTCTGGCTCATATGAGTGGGGAAAAAAAAGGCTATGAAGCTCTTCTGAAAGTCACAGCCTAGCTGCTCAGGCCAGCTAAAAAGCAGCTTTAAACCTAAGGCTATAGACTCTTCCCTCCACACTCCCTTACCAGCACATCAACAGGGTCCAGCGGAACAACAGCAGATAACATCTGAGGCGCAAAACAGACTCTGTAAGAAGTTTCTAGGAAAACCCAAAGACAATGGGAAAAAACAGGGACACCAGAGGAAATTTTCACCTCCGAGAACTACAGTACCGCAGACATTAAATACAGCCTAACTCCTAGCCGGATAAACATAAAGGGTTACTTACCTCAGTTCCTGTTACCCAATACAGCATGTCCAGCTTTCAACACCAACAAACATTAGAAAACATGCTAAAAAGGCAAGAAAAAAACGGTCTGATGAGACAAAGCAAGCATCAGAACCAGACAGATACGGCAGAGATTCTGGAATTAACAGACTGAGAATTTAAAATGATGATTAACACGCTAAGGGCTCTAATGGAAAAAGTAGACAACATGGAAGAGCAGATGGGTAATGTACGCAGAGAGATGCAAACTCTAAGAAAGCTTTAGAAGGAAATGTTAGAAATCAAAAACACTAACAGAAATGAGGAGTGCCTTTGACAGGCTCATCAGTAGACTAGAAACGGTCATAATTTAATCAAAAAGAATGTCAGCTTATGATACAGCAGTTTCTAGCTGTCTCACCACTAAAGTACATAATGGATGTTGTAAGCTACATAGCAAGGAGAAAGTCACGGGGCTGGGCAGAACAACCTGAAGGGGGTCACTGTGGCCTAATTCAAATGTGTCCTTAAAGCTCTATCACTTAGCTTGTGTAAGAGTTTTCATTTTATGGAGGCTGTTAATTACATAAATGACTAGCTTTATCTCTTTCTCTCTCTTTTTCCTGTAGCAGGAAAGCCCAGGGCAAAATATGTTGTACATCTGTTGTAACTATTTAGATAATAATTGTATGTGTGTATACATATATGGATGGTATGTGTTGCCTCATTCCTTATGCCCTTATCAGTTTCTATTCCTTTTTTACTTCGTGCTGTATTTTATGTATCTTTGTAAACTAGGACATTGGTATGTATTTACATACATCGTTGTTGTGTGCCATTGAGTTGATTCTGATTCATAGCAACCCAACAGTGACCCTATAGGACAGAGTAGAACTGCCCTGTAGGGTTTCCCAGGCTGTTATCTTTATGGGAGCAGATTGCCAGGTCTTTTCTCCCTTTCTGTGAGCAGCCAAGTGCTTAGCCATTTTGCCACCAGGGCTCTTTATTCACATACATATATATGATAAATTGATGTGGTAGGCAGAATGCTAAGATGGCTCCCAAGGTCCCCACCCTCTGGTCTACACATACCTTCTAGTTATTCAAACATTAATCTAGGTGCTGCTTTGAAGGGCTTTTCCAGATGTAATTAAAAGTCCCAAACAAGATGACTCTAAGAGGAGATTTTCTTGGTTGGACCTGACCTAGTCAGTTGAGCCCTTAAAAGGCATTGGAACACCCTTGACGAAAGATATTCAGAACATGAAAGAGATATGACACAAGGGAGAGTCTCCGTTGCTGGCTTTGAAAATGGAGGGGGCCACATGTCAAGGAATGCAAGTGGCCGGCCTCGAGGAGCTGAAAGGGGCCTCCGACTGAAAGACTGAGACCCCAGTCCTATAACTGCAAGGAGCTGAATACTATCACAACTTGAGCCTGGAAGGGGATCCTGAGCTCCAGATGAGAACACAGCCCAGCTGATGCCTTAATTTTAGCCATGTAACACCCTGAGCAAAGACTCTAGCCACATCATGCCCCAACTTCTGACCTTCAGAACTGTGAGCTAATAAATGGGTATTGTTTTAAGCCTCGAAATTTGTGCTAATTTGTTATGGCAATAGAAAACAAACAACTGAATACTTTGCTTCAGAAAATTACAACTATTATTTGTTAAATATTTATTGATGTTAAATCCACATTACACCAGCACAACAATCCAAAGGAGTAGGATAGTACTTTTTTTTTTTTTTAATATAAATACAACATAAAAGGTGGCAAAATAATGCTAGTTAATCCCAAACCCAGCAAATTAGCAAGTCACATTCAGAAAAATTTGGCAAGTAAGATATGACTTAAGTCATAATTCTACAATGTAGATAGGTCCAGGAGAGACTATGTATGGTAATATTAAATCCCATATCAGCAATGCATATAACTGTGGCCAAAGACACTTGTACCACATCTGCCCCCCAGTGCTCAGGCCTATTCATCATTTAAAACTTGGTTGGTTGGTGTTCTTACAAAGAAGTAGAAAGCTGTACATGTGAAGCTGTAATATGAAATATATGGGGTGGTACACAGATACAAAATTATTAAAAAAAAAAAAAACTACGTATTGAATTGAGTAACTGAGCTAAGAGAGTTCAACATTTTTAGTATAAATAATGAAAGCTATATGTGTTTTGCATAAGAAATACAGTGTTCTCTTTTCATAACAAAGTACCATTAAAGCCTCATGTTTTATAATATTAGGCCAAATTATTTTTTCTCCTTTTTAAGATTTATTGGTTCCGACTTAAAACCATCAAGTCTGGTCAGAATCAACTCCATCTAGCTACTGCAGAATCATCTGCATTTAAAAAGCAGTCTTGGCTGAGATGCCATTACAAACTGCTCAGAGCCCAGCACCTTCTTACAGCAAGGTTTCATGGCAGCAGGGACATGAGCTAGTATTTTCCATTCATAATATCTTGATGCCATTGGGGAAAAAAAAATACATTATGGCACAAACCTGTTTATATCTCTCCTTAAGTCTCCGTTTCTCTCCAGTAGACTAGATCCTACAGGCAATTTTTCATTTACGCCAACCTTGCGGTCTCAATCCATTGTCAACTTGCTCTACACATCTCAAATCTTCAGCTACTACGCAGACCAGACAGGCTGAAATCCCCACAGCACATGTGCTCCAGATCTCCAGCTGCCCAGCCTCCTCGACTTGTGAATGGCCCTGCCAGCCCATCAACATCTTAGATTGATTTTGAAGAAAACCAGAGAAAAGCTTGGCCTTTGCCACATCTCCTGCCCTTCTACTTTGACCCAAATGAATAGAACGTATTTGTGCCACGAACGTTTTCCTTCACCTCCCTGCTCCCCTTCCGGGCCCTCCTTTCCTCCCAATACCGTATGCCTTGGTCATCTGGGTAGTTTGCATGCCTTTCATGGAATGGACTGTCATACACTTCTGCTTTATTCAGAATACTTTATATTACTTATACTTAAATTAGCCTTTTAGTATGGCTTGTAAGTAAGCTTCCTACCAAGGTAGCTGGAAAAGGAAATTCTATGCATAAAGAAGAACAAAGTTAAGAACTTAGGTATTAACCTTGTTAGAAAACTCTTAGTATTAATAAAATTTAAGGCAAGTAGTTCCTTCCTTATGATTTATAGAAAACAATTTGCAAAGACACGGCATTTACTTGGATTTCGTTGTCATTTCTTTTTCCTTTTTTATCCTTACATATTGCACTTGACTGACTGTAGCTGTCTGGATACACTGCCACTTTAGAATCATTTTAGTATCATTGGTGGTACGGTTGCCTCACGGTCAGCATTTCACACTATCACGCTACATAGCACCTACAGCTTGTGTTTCAAGGCACTTACGGATAATACACATTGTGGCTTCCTTTGCACAACTGATCTCCCTTAGCATTTTGGCATTGCAGACCACTTTAATCACAGCAATTCAAAAGTTTTAAACTGGATGATGAATGTGAATTTTCTGTGCAATGTGTACATTTCTATTAGCGTCACCTACTTAAACTCTACGTTTGGTATGTCAAGTAAGAAAAATATTATTTTGGTGTTTGTTTGTTTTTTTTTTTTATTTCTTATCGTCAAAGGTATGTTTCTGCCTTTTTACACAGTGTGGTCAAGGCAAAGGCTGTTTCAGTGTCTCAGCTGTGACCGGAGCGCTGGATTACAGGTCCTCGCTTTCCACCAAGCCGCTGTTCAGTGTCAGGTGAGATGGGCTGGCTTCGGGCTGGAACGCTGCTTTGATGTCGAGTCCCTGGTCCGAAAGTGCTGCATAGCGACTGGCAGAGGGCCGGACCTTTTTCGGCTTGGTGCTCTGTGGCTGCTGATGCCACTGGGCTACAAAGAAAAAGAGTAAATTCCGATTTTTAACCAAGACATCACTGGAAAGCCCTTAGATGTCTGAAGTAAATACCGAATGCCTTTTGATCTACTGTTGTTAGTTGACCTGGAGTCCATCCGACTCATGGCGACCCTGGGCGTGCAGAGCAGAACTGCTCCATAGGGTTTTCAAGCCTGTGACCTTTTGGAAGCTGATCGCCAGGCCTGTCTTCCCAGGCACCTCTGGGTGGGTTCGAACTGCCAACTTTTTGCCTGGCAGTCGAGCACTTAGCTGTTTGCGCCACCTAGGGACCTCTTTTGGGATACAGCAGGCACACAGTCTTTGTGAAGACTGAATGAACACGTCGATGGTAGGGACACTAGAATTAGGGATACTTTTGTGTTTTACCGACATGCTACAGATTTCCTGTCTGCCCAGGGGAGTGAAGCTGTAACAGCTAGATAATAAAGACAGTGCATCATTTATCTGTATTTTTAAGGAAATACTGTAGCACCGGGGATCCTCTGAAACAGTCACTTAGCTTCCTAATTCTCATCCTCCTTCCCCCACCGCTAAAGTCTTATTTCCTTCCAAGGCTCAAAATCTATAAATGCCATCATTATGGTAGTTGGGTATTCTGGATGGATGTTTTAACACTAACCAATTGAAAGGAATTAGGCAGTAAGGAAGGCTGAGGTCACTCATATCTTGAAAAACCTCACCAAGTCAGTTATTTCTTATTCAAGAAAAGGTAAAATTTGAAATTAGCTCCTATTGTTTCTAGTTTTTTTTTTTTTTTTTAAATGTCCGTGGCTCACATAGGGCTATCGTACTAGTTTGTAAATTCAATAGGAGCCGTTTTCTTTACATTTAGGAGGCATGTACACAAATCTACATACACAAACACTCACAAATACTACTGCTGAGCTGCTCAAGCTCTACTGACAACCAAAGCACGAAGCCACGAAGTAGGCATTCCAGCATCACGTACACACGCTTCCAGTGCATTAGGCCACTGGGATAGGATTATAATACACAAAGAAAGGTTAAAAGGCAGTCATGTGCAGAACACAGGAACCAGGAAACGTGAAAAACACGTGGTTATGCCTTTGCCTACGGTTAACGCCCGAGGATGCTTGAGGAAGGAAGCCACAAATGACTAGCCAATGGACGAGAAATCAGCATGCAGAATTTGCTAATAATTCAGAGTTCCTGAGTGATACTTGGGTATTTGTTCTCCTGGTGTGTTCACTATTAGTGTCGAGAAACTATAAACAGAAAGAGAGAGAACAATATGAAACTTGGCAAGTAAAACACTCCAAGGATTCATAGAACTACAGAAGAGTAACACGACTTGCTGCGTGGATGTCTGATTGTTTACAATTCGGTGAAGAAGCGCAGGGAGAGGAGCTGACGTGACACTCACTGTAGACGTCCAGCCTGGCAGTACAGGACACAATCCCCGCTTCGTTCTTGGCTGACACGGTATACCACCCGGCGTCTTCTTTCGTGGCTCCCTGGATGAGGAGGCAGATGTAGCCGTGGTGATCCTGATGCATGCTGGAGAAAGCGATCAAGTCATTAGGGGGTCTACATTTTAAAAAGGGGCTTTGGACATGAAGCATCATTTCTAATTAGATCAGCAGGATCAGAATTGTGCAAGCAGCAGATAATAGGTTCATAATTATTCTAGAGAGGCTGCTAGCCCCATGCGTGTTAACGGAGAGAAGAACGGGCGTCAGGAGGCTGGATAAACCTGTGCACTTAATTTCTGGTCAAGGCTCTGCCTTTACAAAAACCACTGGATAGTTTTTTCTATCATCATGGAAACAATGGAACTCCCCATTTTCTTTAGATACAAAGATAAATACTTAAAAAAAAAAACCACCATCAGATTAAGTCAGAATGTGCTTCCCAAACTCTGCGCTTCTTACTGACTCATACATTGGGGTAAAGAATGAGTTTTGTATTGGCGTCACTATCATGACGTCTGCACGCAGGTTTACACGCTAAGCACAGTGTATCTGGCGTGCCGTCAGGAGCCAGCAGTGAGGGGTCAGGTTAAGTCAGCGTGTAGTCTCACCTCACTCGGTCAGTGCTGTGAGTGAGTGACTCGTTTTCCTTCTTCCAAAATATCTGAGGTGGCGGCACTCCCAACACACGGCATTCCAGCCGCACCGGGTACCCGTCAGCGACGCCCGTGTTCTGCAGCTTCTCGATAAACACCGGGGGTTTGTGTGCTTCTTTAGCTGAGGAACAGGAGCTGAGTTACTCATCAGTGGCATGCAGAAGGAGCACCATAAAGCTTCCCGACGCTCTTAGGAATATGGTTTGAATACAGCTTTTACTTTAGGATATCACTTTCCACTACAGGTGGTGAGACGCTAGTCCTCCCTCCACATTGTTCTTTGACCAAGCAAAGGTTCGTATCTTTCATCCCATCAATTCATTCAGGTCTCACAGGCCCACACAGCCCACTAGCCATCTGCTCCACAAAATGCCTGTCTGACAGGCTGCTCACGACACTTCCGTCCTCGCTGGCACCTGTGCTGGCTTCACTGCTCATGACGTTACCCTGCCCGCACGGTCTACCAACCACTGCCATGTACCGATGCTGCCAAGGACAAGTACTGCTAGGGATCGCCTCACGGGTGTCTAAATTCAGAAGACGTCCAACTCCCGGGTCAAGGATTTAAAGGATACAGGATGCAGAGGCGGGGAAGGTAAAAGGCGGTATCTATCTAAATTTGACAGCTTTCAAGAGTAACCTGTACGCATCCCATCAGTTACTCATTGCAGTCTGTATTCTTTGGAGGAAGCTATAAAAACAGATGATTATTATTTACCGTGAAGGAAGGAAGCCATCAAAAAAGACAGCGTGATTATTTCCAGAATTGACTATTAATAACACCATGATATTACTACTCAAGGGGGGAAACTGTTTTCTTGGATCTGTGGTAGAAACCATTTTACAGAAAGAATAAGGTTTAATTATTTTCTTCTGAGCTACCAACAACGAATCTGAGGAACTGTGTCTTCCTCACCACCAGTCTCTCATCGGGAGTGACAACATATGAAAGCAAAGTCGGGGAGAGCCAGGTGCAGACGATAAAAATTCTACCTGAATTTCTCAAATGCCTAAAACTCACAAAGACCTTAGATTAAGTAGAAGGTTATATTTTCATTGGAGTTTACGCTGTTCCCTGATCTGGGCTATTTTGGGGGAAGTGGGACGAAGGCTCGCTCAATATTCTTTCTGGGTCCCAGTTGTGAAAAGAGCATAAAGTGTATAGAATGAGACTTGACGTCCTAGCAACTTGCCTGGACGGATAACACCCACCATTTTGGAGCAGTGCGATGCACGTTATGCAGGGCTTCATATTTATCTTATGATTTGACCGTTAGAAAATTCTGTGAGGTTTTATGATCCCCATTTACATATGGGGAAGCTGAGGTGCAGAGATGTCATATATTTGCTGAAGGTCACACAGTGAGTAACGTAAACAAGAGTTGGGATTTGGAACTGAGATTTGACGCCGGAGATCTTGCTTCCAGTTACCGGGGAAGGTGCTCACTGAGGCACACTGAGGCGTCTGCCTCCTCCCGGACTCTCAATTCTCGGTCCTGAAGGGCAGGATGATCAAGGACATTCAACAGGAGAAAAGTGAACACTTTCAGTTTGAGGAGAAATTGTTAGAGGAATGAACGAAATCGAACTGAGTGTGAAAAACGGGTACAAAAATTTTCAAAGCATGGCGGACATGTAGTACCACAGCCCGCATAATCAGCACGGTTTTGTCTAAGCAACATCTTGGTGCTATTACTAAAATCCAGGATTTTAGGGAGGACCTCTAGGTTTATTCTCATTACTGTTCTTTTTTGAAAGAGCTCAGTGGCTCATCGTGTGGTTGGAAGAGTTCTAGGAGCCAACAGTGTTCTTCTGAGTTGGTCCTCAATTTACTAAATGGGACGCTATGAAAGTCACTTAATCGTTCTATTTCTACATCTGTTAAATGAGGGAAAAGGTTCGCTGTGATTATTTCCTAGGGTTGTTGTGAGGACTGAGAAAATATAGATGAAATGCTTTGCAAACAAGTATGAGAAAAAACGTGGAAAAAATAATATATAGTTACATAACTCATAAAGATAAGGTTCTTGGACTATACTACATGTTTTTGTTTTGTTTCTTTTTTTAAAAGAGAACAGATATCAGGATCTTTACTTGTGTCCAACTTTTAAGGATGATATAAACCTTTCCATAAATATGATTTCATTTTCGGTTTTTACCAAAAGCTTAAGACTTCATATAGACAATGCTTTTACAAAATTTACCTACAGTATAATCAATCAAAAAGCAAATTTGAGTTTAATTTGACTCTGACATTGTGGGTAGATGGTAACGTTTAAAAATTTTGAATTTTGAAATCACTGCACCTTACATCACTTTAAATCTAGGTGTGGGTGTGTATATGTATCTACATATATGCGTGTATATGTATCTATACATATGTGTGTTTCTGAATGTGTATATGTATACGTGTGTATGCATATACACATGTACATATATGCATATATGTATGCACACACACATGCACATTATATACATGTGTGCATATACGTGCGCACATATATGTATATGCATGTGTGGATATACATGTGTGTACATATATGTATGTGTGCATGTATATATGTGTGTGTACATATGTGTGTGCGCATATATATGTATATATACGTGTGTGTGTGTGTGTGTGTGTGTGTGTAAAATCTCACATAAGTCTGGTTCTTGGAGCCCACACTTCTGTTGCTCTCTATGTAACATTAGGAGGCATTGCACACACGGTAAGTTGAACGGCCCAGGAAAGCTGTTAACGTCCTTTGCTCTCTTCATCAGGCCAGCAGGAGGAAAGAAAGAAAACTAACAATGGCTACACTGAAGTAAGGAAAATCAGTGTTTCCGACTTGCCAATGCCTGATGTTGTTGTTAGGTAACACTGAGTTGATTCCGGCTCACAGCAACCCCACGTGAGGGAGCAGAACTGCCCCACAGGGTTTTCTAGGCAGTAATCTTTATGGGAGCAGATTGTCAAGTCTTTCTCTTGTGGATCCACTGGGTGTTCTCAAGCTGCTGACTTTTTAGTTAGCAGCTGGGTGCCTAACCACTAAAGCCTTACCCAAAAAAATAAATGAGAATCGTCATCATTAATGGCCCTATAGGACAGAGTAGAATGGCCCCACAGGGTTTCCAAGAAGTGGCTGGTGGATTCGAACCGCCGACCTTTTGGTTAGCAGCCAAGGTCTTAACCACTGCGCCACCAGGGCTCCTAAAGCCTTACAGCATGTCCTAATCGGCCATTTTGATGCTACAATCTATGTTTTCCGCAGTTTGATTTTCCATATTGTTGAATAACGCAGTATGACTTGGCATTTCTAAATCCAATGTTCGGTATGGACAGAGAAAAGATTCAGAGAGGAGCCTACCAGCAACCACAAGCTCCAGGCTGAACGAGTTCTGGCCTGCTCGGTTGGTGGCGATACACGTGTAGATGCCGGCATCTCGCGACGTGACTGGCTCGATGATCAGAGAGTGCACCCCGTTCTCACGCACCAGCATCTTGTGGGCACTGTCAGGGCGTATGGGCTTTCCATCGAGCTGCCAGCTTAGATCTGGAGTTGGTAACCCACTGACCTGAATCGGAAAAGAAATGTGTATAAATTTCTTTCCTAGAGTGAAATCATTAAGAGCTAAGAACCAGCAGAAATTCCTCCTTCGGGAGTACAGGAGATGGCTTTTAGTATTCGCTCAAGTTACTCTTTTGCTTAAACTTTTCAATGGCTCTCTAAGCACTCAGGCTCACGACTAAACATTTCTTACAAAGCAACCTAGAGACAAGTGAATTGGGGGTTAAAAAAATTCTCTAACTGTCTTACCTCACCCAAGGCTGTACTGGGATGATGTCAACACAGGGCTCTGAGCTCTTTGGAAATAAACTGTCCAACCATAACAATAATAAAAAGTACTCGGTTGGCATTGGTGTGTTATAGAGCTTCTCATCAAGGAGTTGCCACAGCTATGGAGACTTAGTGAATGTGTCCATCAACACTTAGATCTATTATTATAATTTTATAATCCTTCAAACTGAGAAACAACAGCGATGCAAAATTACCCAGAAAACTGTCTCAAGAAGTTAGATCCCAATGGAAACATCATAAAATCCTGAGACCATGACAGTGTGTTGACCAGAGATCAGATAAAAGCACATTTAATTGATAATAACTCTCAGTGCCATGAAGAGTAGGGATGGCTGCCATCTGTCAGCTCCTTATGGTTTTCCCTTGGATTCTGAATGGGAGAAAGTACCCTTAAGGAAGGCTTTTTCACCCCCCCCCCCAACTTTGTTGTTGTTGTTAGGTGCTGGCGAGTTGGTTCCAACTCATAGCGACCCTATGTTTAACAGAACGTAACACTGCCCAGTCCTATGTCATCCTCACAGTCGGGGCTATGTTTGAGCCCACTGTTGCAGCCACTGTGTTAATCCATCTCATTGAGGTCTTCCTCTTTTTCACTGACCCTGCACTTTACTAAGCATGATGTCCTTCTCCAGGGACTGGTAACATGTCCAAAATATATGAGACAAAGTCTTGCCATCCTCGCTTTTAAGGAGCATTCTGGCTGTACTTCTTCCAGGACAAATTTGTTCATTCTTCTGGCAGTCCATGGTATAGTCAGTATTCCTCCCTTCTACCATAATTCAAATACATCAACTCTTCTTTGGTCTCCCGTATTCACTGTCCAGCTTCTGCACGCCTGTGAGGTGACTGAAAATACCGTGGCTTGGGTCAGGCGCACCTTAGTCCTTAAAGTGACCTCTTTGCTTTTTTGACATTTTAAAGAAATCTTTTGCAGTAGATTTGCCCAATGCAATATGTCGTTTGATTTCTTGACTGCTGCTTCCATGGATGTTGACTGTGGATCCAAGTAAAATGAAAATCTTGACAACTTCAATATTTTCTCCGTTTATCATGATGTTGCTTATTGGACCACTTGTGAGGATTTTTGTTTTCTTTATGTTGAGGTGTAATCCATACCAAAGGCTGTAATAGCCTGATCTTCATCAGTAAGTGCTTCAAGTCCTGTTCGCTTTCAGCAAGCGAGGTTCTGTCATCTGCATATCACAGGTTGTTAATGAGTCTTCCTTCAGTCCCAACCCTGACACACACCTTTCCTGATTTCAAACCACATAATATCCCCTTGTTGTGTTCGAACGACTGCCTCCTGGTCTATGTACAGGTTCCTCACGAGCACAATGAAGTGTTCGGGAACTCCCATTCTTCGCAATGTCATCTATAATTTGTTATGATTGACAGTTGAATGCCTTTGCATACTCATAAAACACAAGTAAACATCTGTCTGTCATTCTGCTTTCAGCCATGATCCATCTGACATCAGCAATGATATCCCTTGTTGCATGCCCTCTTCTGAATCCGTCTTGACTTTCTGGCAGTTCTCTGTTGATGTACTGCTGCAACCGTTTTTGAATGATCTTCAGCAAAATTTTACTTGTGTGTGATATTAATGATATCATCCAGATGGACTCTTTTGTCATTTTTTGTATTTAAAGAAAAAAATCCCAGACTCTGTGTAATTTTAACCCTATATAGCTCAGTATGCCTTTCTAAAAACTATGGATTTTTCTTATATAATCATAATTCCATTTTTACACATAAAATTAATAATAATCCCTTGGTATCATCTAATAAGCTATTTAAATGAATTTTCCCAATTGTCTCAAAAAGTAATTTTACAGGTGGTCTGTATGAATTCTTAATTATAGACTGAAAACAAAGTAAATACATCCATATATAAATATATACACACTGAAACTCAATTTGCTTATTTATACTGTAAAAAGAACAATGCTGGAAAATAAAATATTTTTGTTAAGATTACCGGTGTTTATACATTTCTGCTTAGTTCACAGGCCCAGATTTACTTATTTAAAAAGTAAATGATGCCCAACTCCTGTATGTTTTCATCTCACACGGAGTAGCTTATACCCGTGTTCTGCAAGACCCAGGGAGAACCAGCAGAGGGAGCCCAAATCCATATTTAAGAGTTAAACTTGAAACTTAAGATCCATAAATACTGGGGCACAAAACCAACAAACAGGAACTTCAGAGAAGTGTTCTTAAACATTTTGGCCTTGAGGCCCTTTGAGAAATGGATGAAAGCTCTGTCACAACCCTAGTTTATATGCAGTTTCAGAGTACACATGCCCAATGAAGCCCGCCTACCCGCTGCCCGGGGTGAAACTGGTATAAAACAACAGGAAGAAGAAGGGGTCGCTGTCACTCCTCTCAGAAATGGAAAATGGAAGGAATACAAGTGGAGAGTAGAGACGTGAATATAAAATTTGTGTGAAAAAGAAGGAAGATTAAATAATTAAGGATGAGGACATATGGCAGATTGATCAAATTTACTACATAAACCAGATGGGGAACATAAAGGGGGAAGCCTTCCAGTGTCCTTCAGGAGTGTGGTGTATGGGCTCTGAGGAAAGAACATGTTTAATGGACGTGTAGAGGAAGGATGGAAAAGGGCCTATACGTGTCCAGTGTATTTTGCTCATTTTTTTTCCTATTCAGCCGCATGTCATTTAAAGATGCGTGCTCTATATAATTTCTCCGAAAGGAAGTGTAGAGAAATGGCAATGAGGGGAGAAGAGAGACAACAGATTAGCAGGCAGTAACAAATGCTTACTTTGCAATCCATTCTGCAGAGTTTTCCTTCTTGAACAGTCAGATCCCCAGGAGCCTGAAGGAAGTGAGGTCTGAAGAATCGCTCCTGGATGGGTTCATTCTCATCTCCACTATCTCTTGAACTGGAACGAGGTCTTAAAACAAGGCAAGCAGACGACAGACAGGGAGATAGGAGTTACTTCCAGGCTCTGAGTCGTCTCTTTTCTTACAATACACGGGCAATAACAGACTTTTCTTATCTGATCCCAACCCCTCGGGTTTACTGACAACACAGAAAAAAATCAGAAAAGCAAAATCTTGTTTTCTTTGGAAGCTTACTATAAATTTAATCGTCTTCTAATTGCAGATTTTAAAACAGTTCTGCTACCCTAATTTTTAAAGCTAGTATAAATCACAGGGAGACATGGTGGCGCAGTGATTAAGAGCCTGGCTGCTATCCAAAAGGTCAGCAGTTTGAATCCACCAGACGCTCAGGCTCCTTGGAAACCCAATGGAGCAGTTCTACCCTGTCCTATAGGGTCACTATGAGTTGGAATCGACTCCACGGCAATGGGTTTGGTGCTTTGGTTTATAAATCATAGAAGGGGAAATGGGAAAATACAGGGTAAAATATGAGCATATTTTTTTCTAAATAAGTATTTTTAAAGCTATATGAGAAGTAGCAGAGCTGCTGCTTATTTACTACCAAAGCTTTTTCAACAGAAATTACTCAGACTTTCCACTGTGACTTTTAAATTTGTGGGAAATTACAAATGTAACCGTTTTATAAAATGTAATATCTTTCTAATCCAAATTCCTTTTAGGGAAGTATTCTTCTGCATCAGTTATCTCTGTGCTTTAAGACATTTTTTGCCTCCAAATAAAATTGTGAAAATCTCCAAAATTTTGTACATTTCTCTCTCTTTTAAACATGTTGCTAGAGGCACCTTAACATCAATACAATTTAATACAACTTCAAGGAAGGCTTAACAAAGGAAAGAGGAAGATGTTGAATACATCTTCTGTTAGCTATCCATAGAAAATACTTTTTTAAATATATAATTTTATGTATTTTGTTGTTGAGAGTATACATAGCAAAACATACAATAATTCAAGTTTCTACACGTACCATTTAGTGACACTGATCACATTCTTGGAGCTGTGCGACCATTCTCACCCTCCTTTTCTGAGTTGTTCCTCCCCCATTAACATACACTCACAGCCCCTTAAGGTTCCTATCTAATCTTTCAAGCTGCTGTTATCAGTTTGATCCCATATAGACAGTTGTTAAAAGAGCATCACACTCAAGGCAGACATTTTTTACTAATTAAGCTAAACCACTGTTTGGTTTTAAGAAGACTTCAGGGGATATTTTTACTTTTAAAGCACTTAAGTAGCAATAGCGGAACAAATGAAAGATTAGTATAGTGGGATAATAACTATCAGCTTTTTTATCTAGGGGCCCTGGAAGCGCAGTGGTTAAGTGTTTGGCTGCTAACCAAAAGGCTGGCAGTTCGAATCCACCAGGCGCTCCTTGGAAGCCCTATGGGGCAGCTCTACTCTGTCCTCTGGGGTCACTATGAGTCGGAACCGACTTGACGGCAGCGGGTTTGTTTTTAATCTTGTCTACTCTTCTCCAAGTACAAATCGAATTTACAAGAAAATTGCTTTTCTAGGAGCACAGACATATAGAAAAGCTTAAACATATTGAAATCCACAAGAAAAGCAGAAGAGAATAATGCAAAAGAATGGACTTGATACTAAGTGTGTTGGGTTTACAGCCACAGATACAGGCCTTCCTGTGAACAGATACTGCCGCAATAAAGTTAGAGTTAGATTCGGACATGCTCAGGTGCCAGGTCTCTTTCAAACGCTGGACAAATGGCTCAGTGGATCCAGTGACATGAGGAGGTGTGACACACACCAGATTAATGCTCACCCTCTGTGTGTTCTGTTCATCAAAGGTGTTTGTATCTATGGCCTTCAAGTTTCCAGTGAGAACTATCTGAGGGTGCTCTTTCTGTAAAATGTCTACGTAGGGACCTGAATTGACAGCCTACTTGACTTACCATATTCTCTTATAAGTGCAAATATGTTACTAAGAAGTAATAGCCTTTCCCTGTCCGTCAGTAACCTTGAATAAATGTAGTTCAAAGAAGACTAGAAATCACACTACTGTTATCAGACATTTGTCTCAGTATTTAAAATACAGCAAATATTGCCTAGAAGATTTTGGTCTAAAATAAACTCTTGTGAACTAAAATGACTGAAAACCAGCTAGTTTTGAGAAGTCTCGTGGCAATCACCCACAATGGTCAACCCACGCAGCCGCTGGTTAGAGAAACTTGGTTTGGAACATCTGTGTACCATTTACTAGGATTTTCAGGTCCACGTGCTCTTTAAACATGCTGAGTCTTGACTTCTTCACATATTAAATGTGACCCATTTAACGAACTAGCGATGACCTATGTGAACAGGCCTAGCACACACTAGCGAACAGTTGTTCCCTTCCCCTCTCCGAACCCCAAAGGAGCATAATCACCAAGGAGGCACACACTTTAAGTCTGTAATCACATTCTGTCTTCCAGCTACATTCACTTTTGGGGTCATACTACCATTCTAATAGCGCTGCGTTTCACCTGTGGGAAGGAAACATTTGAAGTACCTTCTGACGTGAGGAGGGCCTGAGGGGGAACGGGGGCTGCGACCTCTCTGGTTGACAGCCTGGACCATCAGCCGTCCAGTACAACTGATGCGGCCCTGTCAGACATCAGGAGAAGAAATTATTTGCTGTGCAAAACTATTAACCATTAAACGCTATCATGTCTCATCCTGTTCTCAAGACATTATTTCATAACAAAGCAGTGTGTCATATTAGTACCGACACCAACCCCTTGCAGAAATGCACTTTCCCTGAGTTAAACACCTCAGTAAAGTTCTGAATTTATTCAAAGAACCCAGGTGACAAGTTACTTCTCTGAACCGTTAAATAAGCTTGACTGTTTAACTAGAGCGATATTTAAAATGACAACCCTTACTGAATTAATTGTAATTGCTAAGGGCTCCCTAACATATAAAACTGAGTTTGTAAACTCCAGCAGAAGGACATGACTGTCTTGCGATGATCCCATTTCCATGATCAGATATCTACTGGATGTGGCCAATTCTGAAATCAAAACCAGAAGACTTTAGTTTTCTGTCAGATGTTGTTAGTAATGTATTTATTAAATGCTAGTAGCATCCCTTCCCAAAACTATAAATTAAAACAGATATTAGCATGATAAGATGAGCACTATGTTAGAACAGCACATAGCAAGACAAGGAGAGAGCCACTACTGTATAGACGCCATGTTCTCATGGAAACTATATATTTGAGATTCAAAAATCAGCAGCAGTTATGTATCTAATATATGTGGGTCTTACGATAGAGGCTTATCTAATAAAAAGCTCTATTTTATCTCTTAAATTTGTCATCAAAAGTTTGATAAATGCTGCCATGTGGACGGACAACAGTAATGCTTTTATCCAGAAGCCATGGGTGAACCAGCCATCGTTACCGTGGTTTTTTCTTTCAGCCCTTTCTCTGAGTATTTCTCTTCAGTGTTATGAGAAGACTAAATAAGTACAGCAAAATAAATTCCTTTCCCCTCTCCTCTTCCCTGAGAACGAGCAGATATATTTCTCAGTTCTGACGTGGCCAAAAGGGTACAGTAAGGGTGGAAAAACGAGATTTATCGTTAACGATCAGACTCAGTGAATTCTGAGGTTCAACCAGCAGCCCTCATGTGCTCTCACACTTACACTCACATTCTACCATCGGCTCCCACTTCCATTGCAAGTTGCTGAAACAGGCAGGTAACAGAAGCAGGGATGCGCTGTGTGTTTTGAGGAACTGTTTTCTGAATTCTGACTGGGGTGGGGCGGGAGGTATTGGTGGAGGGAACAAACATAGGGGGAAACACACACACACACACACACCCCAAAGCAGGATTCAGTGAAGAGCAGGAATCCAGTCAGATCTCCCAAAGCTTGGACTTCTTTAGGGCCATAACCACCCAGAAAAGGCAAAAACATATGGGAATGTAAGAATGAGGAACTGCAATATAGAAAGTCTTGGAAGAAGTACCACTAGAATGCTCCTTAGAAGCAAGGATGGCAAGACTATGTCTTACATACTTTGGACATGTTGTCAGGAGGGATCAGTCCCCGGAGAAGGACATCATGCTTGGTAAAGTAGAGGGTCAGCGAAAAAGAGGAAGCCCCTCAACAAGATAGACTGACACAGTGGCTGCAACAATGGGCTCAAGCATAACAACGATTGTGAGGATGGCGCAGGACGGGGCCGTGTTTCCTTCTGTAGTACACACAGGGTCGCTGTGAGTCAGAACTGACTCGATAGCACCCAACAACAACAATAACAGAAAGAGGTAGTTGTAAAGAAACAAACTCAACTGGTCTTATTCCACTAGATATGTGACTCCCTCTAACAAGTCACAGTATTTGCTATGAGGTCTCATCGCCTCTATTGAAAATTTCCAAGGAGAGATGAAGTATAACATTATCAGTGGGAATTCTTTCTAAATTAAATTAACTGTATCTGAAGCTCAGGCCACAGCATACCAAATTCTCTCATGCTGTGCTCCTGTCATACACTTGAGATTCCCTAAGATAACTCAAAATCTACAAATTAATTTCATCTAGCTTGCATGTTGTAACGATGCTGGAAGCTATGCCTCTGGTATTTCAAATACCAGCAGGGTCACCCATGAGGGACAGGTTTCAGCAGAACTTCTAGATTAAGACGCTGGCGATCTGCTGTTGTAAAGCTCACAGCCAAGAAAGACCTACGGAGCACTTCTACCCTGTAACACATGCGGTCCTCAGGAGTCAGAATCGGCTCAATGGCAACGTGTTTGGTTTTTTTGGTTTCCAGACTAAGACAGACTAGGAATAAAGGACTCATGAGGTACTTCCAAAAATTAACCAATGAAAACCCTGTGGATCACAACAGAATACCGTCTGATACGGAACTGGAAGACTAGCCCCCTAGATACTCAGAATACACAGGGGCCGTGAAAATGGACTCACGCATGCCAAGGATCATGAAGATGGAAAGGAGCGGATATGTTTCATTCTGTTGGACATGGGGTAGCCATGGGCTGAAGCTGACTTGAAGGCAGCTAGCAACAGCCCCTCCAAATCTATACCTGCTATAGAAAATCTAGATGTGACTTGCCTAGGAGACCCCCATGATAAATTACCCAACAGATGCATCCTAGTAGATGCTTTAACAAATTAACATACGAGATCCATAATTCCTTTTGGAGCTTGAGGACAAGGAAGTATATGCTTCGTTTTACATAAAGAGCTTCAACTGTACTGCTATGGAATATGGCTTCCTTATTTCTGCCTTACTGCTTCAGTGATAGAATGCATAGAATTTGGATATAGTCTTCCTGGTTGTATAAAACCCAGGGGGCCCACAAAGGAAGTTACTATTAACTAATCCTTTATGTGGTTAGAAAAAGACATCATGCATGTTACATTCAAACTTTAACCTTGAATCTGGGGAAGCAGATGTAGGTTGCTAAAAAAAATGAAAAAAACTCCTAAAATGTTGGGCAGGTCACTGAATTTGTCCAAGCCTTAGTTTCTTCACAGGTAAAAACAGGACTGTTATAAGGATTAAATAAGATAATTTAAGAAGGTATTGTAAAATATCAAATGATCCTTGATGCCATACATTATCACTGTTAAAAATTCATCTCAGCTGGCACAGTGCTGCTGTAGGTCTGAGACATTATTTCTGCATAGACATGCATCAACTTGATTTTTAAGGGTCCCAACAGCTGGGCTGACTCCACTAAAATTTCCAGGTGGGTAAACTTTACTTGAAGTATACTCCTATCTGTTTTTCTGATCTCTTCAAACATCTCTTTTAACCACGTCTCCCCTGCTCCTCAGGGTTCTTGATGCTGAGCTGAGCCCCAGACACCCTCACTAAGACACTCCTTAGCTCTGCAATTAGATTGTCTGAGTTTGGACAACAGCTCTGTCCCCTGTAGGTGCATGACCTCAGGCAGATAACGTAACCTATAGAATCAATAATTTCCTCATCTGTATATCTGGATACCATCTAGTTAACCCTTCATGAGTTCTTCTGAGGATTAAATGAGTTAATACGTGTAAGGTGCCTGGTATTGTGTTTCGTACACAGTAAATGCTCAAAATGTTAAATTATTACAGTACAGAATATAATTATTATAACCCAAAAGGTTGTTTTGTTAAACACAATGATTTTTTTTTTCCCATATGTAATGGAGTTTTCTTTCCTCTCTCTCTTTTTGTTTTTGGTATTAGGATGTATTTTACTCTGTCCAGAGGAGAAACAAAATACTCTCAGCGGGAGGGCAGAGTACCTGGAAGCAGATCAGCGTTTTTAACTTCTTCTGCTAGAGCTTCCAAGGTGCCAGGAACACAGTTATATTTAAAGTGTGTTTGTTTATGTGATGGCTAAATGTAAGGTCGAAGACAAAAGCTGTCCTTCTCAACTCTAAACATTTGCTTGCGATTAGGATAAACCCTCCTCCCCTCCCCCCAAAAACACAGTAAACAGGTTAGCACGCTATTCTGGAAAAATGACACATTTCTTTACTGTTTTCAAGATTTTCACTGCTACTGCCTAGAACCACCCGCACAGCTGCTGTCCCAGAATCTTCCCTTCCCTTTTCCAGATTTCAGAGAAAAGAACATGTGATGAGGGGTCACATTTTCACACCTGTCCCAACCCTCCTCTCACTTCTGAACGGAAAGATGAAGTAGTTAGGAGGCAGAATTACTAGTTTGATGACTATAGTGTTATTGACTAAAAATGTTATTAACCAATTAATGACCAAGGGCATCGAGAAAGCATTCTAACAAGCTGTATAATTTTGACATTTGAAAAAAAAAAAAAAAAATCCAGAATTCAGTGGAAGTATTTTTAAAGAGATGCTTCCAATGTGCATGAACCGAAAGTCCCGATTTTTCAATCTGAATGTCTTTTTTTACAAGAAGCCTCTTACAGCCAGATAGAATTAGAGTTAAATAATTTTTAATCATATGAAAGTACCAATTAACCCTAGTAATCATCATAATTAGTAGGCTCTGATGGGCATTAATGCTGTTGCATTTATTAAATTTCTCATTTCTATCTGCTTATTAACACACGAAGTAATAATGGAGCGAATGTTTAAAGCTTGGAATGAGCCTAGAAACTTCATAACGCCAAGAAGTAAGACAAAACACGATCAACAAACCCACTTTTTATATTTGACTCAGCTGTGTGCTGCTCTTCTATTCCAAACAAGTCCACAGAGTTGAAAGCTACAGTACAAATACTAAGTCTGAATTCTTGAAGTGATTCTGTATTAAATATCCAGCTTGTAAAGATCACTGGATGCCTCCCTCCTGCAGGCCAAGTATTTACATAATATGGAAATAACATTTATATTTCATGGTTTATGACATTTAACTTATGGCACACAGGTTCCTTATAAAAGCTTGCCACTTGTATACATAATGGGATTTGAGGAAACATCAAGCAGCAAAACAGCCCTTCCAAAACCCAAGTTCGATACAAAGTAACTCAGCAACGCCAACAAAACAAAGTCAAACATTCATGCTTAGATTTAGTTGTGTCTTAAAGAGAGGATTAGAGATGACAATAAACTGTGTTTGTGATGCTTCTTTTGGCGTTTTGTTTGGGGTGACTGCACAAGCACTCATGATTTCCCTAAACGATGTGATTGCTCGGGCCTCCGATGAATTGCCTGCCCTGCCCTCAGTCGGGATGCCCCTCAGTCCAGCGCGTGTTTAGTGTGTGCCTTCTATCCCAAGCAGGCTCTGGATGCAGTCAACAATAGCTAAAGTGTTTCTTATCCCCAAAAGATTACCCCAGGTGGAAAAATACCACATTCCGTAAAATATGCCGCTAAACCCTAGTGTCTGCCTCTTTGCCTGGTTCTTGCCCTTTCTCTTGGCTGTGTCCTGTAATTAGTTCCCACTGCTCAGGAAAGCTCTCCCATCTGTGTTTTATTACTGGACTGATTTTTCCACTCCCCTTTTCCTCTTTCCCTTGGTCATTTTGCATCAGGCAATCTACAGTGTCCTAGAAAATTAGATGTAGCTGTCTCCGTTTCAAACCTAAATACTTTTCTCAAATGTGAAGAAAAATCCAAGGTATCCAAAGGGTAACGACGGAGTGGGGATTTTTCTGCAGTTTTCTGGTGACTACACTTTCTGCTGTTGGCAATAACAGCCTGAAAGACGGAGCTTTTACTCTGGAATCTTCTTTTCAGTGCCTGCTTAGGATGTGTTTCTTTTAAATCGAGTTTTAATTTACAAATTAAGAGGCTGGAAAAAGGCCTTAATATACAATAGCGGATGCTGTAAAGCTGAGATTACAACAGTGTCAAACATTTCTGTGATGGTATTCCTACAGCAGCAAATGCTAACATATACCAAGGGTTAGATAGAAAAATGGTCTGCCACTTGTCAGCTTATTTAAACACCCCTTTGTTTTTTCTAAGAGGGAGTAAAGTTCCTTCCAGTTCTAGGTGCTCTTACAAAAAATCAATACCTGGCGTGGCGTGTTTGGACTCTCTCTACTGAAGAGCCCAGGGTAGAAAAGCGGGCATTTTACTCTTGGAATGAATACGAACCAGGCAATATGCTCACGAACTTGAAACGACACCTACTACCTAGTGGTGGAAATGTCAACATTTTCTCACAGCAATCTGAACGGGTTTCCTCAGGCTCTGTTCATGAGTTTCTCCTCCTCTGCCTGCCTTTGGTTATTTAGGGAGAAAAGGAGACTCTCAGCCCTGCCCTCTGAGTGAGAATACTGGGTGGGCCAACCAAGCCGGAGAGACAGAATTCTAGGTCTTAGGAATTGCTTTGGTTACTCTGATCATTGGTCACACTCCCCTATGCTTCAATCACTGGTGAAGCAGAATCTTCTGTTAGAAGGGAGGGATTGTGGCGACCTGATGTAAACTGGGCCACTTCTCCTTTCTCTGTCTTCTCTCCACAGAGGAGAGGTAAAGAAAGAGAGTGGGTTAACCACGGGGTTGGCCTGGGATTTGCTAAAGCAGCGGAACTCACTGGGGCCTGGAATGAGGGCAGTGACGGCTCTCTCGTGGGCCTTCTCTGGGCCATGAGTGAGCTGGAAGCAGAGAGCAGCTTCCCAGCTTCCTGTGGGGCTCGAATCAGCTGTGCGGTGGGTGTGGCCCGTCCTCCAGCTCACAGCTCCCCACCCAAACCCACAGCTGTGACAGATGTGGCACAGCCTTCCCACGGGGGTGGAAAAACGGAGAGGCCCGGAGGTCAGAAGACCACACACCAGCAACACGTTGGGTAGAAATCCCATCCCACGCTGACTCGCTTACTCTTTCTAAGACACCATGGGAGCAGAATACCTAGAGACGGAGCTGATCCTTTACATCTGTACATCCTTTACAGCTGTAAGAGCTGCTGCTCTAAGACAGGGGGACTAGTGTGTCTGAGTAAAAACAGAGATACTAACACTGAAAGCATACTAGGTGCCAGGGACACTGAGTGCTTTACATCACTATTTAACGCTCAATTGTTATTCTCATTTTATAGAAGATGAAGCAGGCAAAGAGAGGTTAAGTGACTGGCTAATCGTCACATAGGTAGCACGCGGCAGAGAGAGAATTTCAGCTCAGTTCTGACTGATGCCAAAGCTCACGCTTTTAACCCCCGCGCTACACTGTCCGCCTGCCTGGTCCTGGGCTCTTCAGTCAGATCGGTATCAACCACTCTGCAGTCCTGAGCTGTCTTTGCTGGTCACTTCTTCCTTTTGGTTTCCTTCCTTCCCTCCTCTGCCGATGTTTTCAAGGGGATCGTCAGCAGCCCTCCTTTACCTACTAACTTCATTACAGTTTGTCAGAAGAGTTTAAATGAATCAGAGAGTACTGACCCTTGAGGCTGGCCTGCTGTTGTGAACTCTGCACCCATCTTGAGAATGCCACCGCCCTGAGCAGTGAGTCTTTCGCCATCTAGAACTTTCCCACGTGTAAAAATACTTTTGCATAACTTGAAGACAACTGGAAGTAGACTCCATTGCAATTTTAGATTTCCATTCTTTTGTTCTATAAAATGGCTTACTCCAGTAACAATTTAAAACATGTGTTAGGAAAAATAACTTGAAATTAACAGCAGGCTCCCAGGTGAGGACTGAGAAACACAGATAATGCCATCCCCATAATATGTCCTAACCTTTCTAGGGGAAAAGAGGAATAAAAGACCTAACGTGAAGCAAAATTGTAAATTTTGTTGAGTTCTCCACCATGTTTTCAATAGGCAGAAAATGGAAAGTTGCAATTTGTTAAGTCAAGGAAACATACTGAAAATACAGTAAGAAAAAAGTTACGCTTTTGTTCCCCTAAATACACCAAACATGAACACAAATAAGCATTAAAATGTAACTTTTGAATGAAGCTTGTGATTTTGATTATTTTTCAGGGTAACGGTCATGTGTATGTTGATTAAAATCAAGAAAGCACATTACTATGGAAACGCTTCCTTGACAGTAAAGAATTTGCTGTGTTCAGAAATAACCTGATTAGCTGGATAACAGGAGTTTTATTCAAATCCTAATATTATTGCAGACAAAGATCTTTTTATGGCAATAAGATATCAGAATGTAATAAGCATTGTACAAACCCTTAAGTTTGTAAGCTTTGCTAAATTGATTTGTATTATTTTCTAACATGTACTCTTGCCTTCAAGAGAAATAATGAAATATGGAATGATATAAACAGATCAAAGGTCTTAAAAAGACTGCTGGCTAATTTTCATTAGTTATATAATCAAACGGTTATTTTTATCCTCCTTAAAAAGAAGTATTATTTACACAACTTCTGGAGACTTAGTAAAATTATTCTGGGACGCACTGAGCTCTTAAGGTAGGCAATCACTTCTTACTCATTCCTGTGTCCTCTGTACCCAGCATAGTTGCCTAAAATATACAAGATACTCAATAAAATAGAATTTTGCAGGCTGGAATTGGGATCATGATAGCTAGGAGCCCACTATTAAGTCCTGTGTAGTCAACTGATTTCTTGACCATAGATACAAAAGAAAACATTCTGATGCAAACCAAAAATGCCTGAATGGTCACATAGGTACTATGAAAATTATAATCTGTCTACACTTACACATTAAATTCCACTGATGTATGTGTGTTTCTTTTTAAGTATTTTACTGTGATTTTCTTCTAGAGTCCATATAGCCACTGACTCTCTCTGTCCTCTTATCCTTTATTTTCTTTGTAGAACTTAACCCTTCCTGAAATGATGTTATTTGTGTGTTTGCTGCTGTTGTATTTTCTACCCCAGGACTTTGTCTCGCCCACCACTGCAACCCCATTGCCTACGGGGTGCCCAGTAGGTGTTCGCAGTAGGCCCTCAGTAATAGTTGTGGACAGAACGCACATCTGCACCAGAATCATTCCTTCTGAGGAACACCTGATGGAATAAATAAATACTCAGGAAATAAATAATTTTTCTACCCTCTGAAACCAAGATGGATGTGGAATTTGGAAAAATAGTTTCATAAGCCAAAGCAGTGTGACTCTACTTTTAATTAAACAGTCCCACCGTCCAGTTACATGTCGGCACAGAGAACTGAAGCCAGCCCACCCCATCTTCACCTGGGGGTTTGCAGCCATGATGGTGTAGTTCCCATCATCATCCAAGGTGGAGGCTGTGGTGTGCAGCGAGCAGGTCCCGTCGAGATCTCTCTGAATGGTGTAGTGATCGCTCTTTGGGGAGATCTGCTTCCCGTCTTTAAACCAATAGATCTGTGAATGGAGACAGGAGTAGAGATTGGGAGCGTGTGTAGACTTTCTCTGCTTGGGTGACCAACTGATGAATAATAACAGTGTAGTCTGCAGAGGTAACCCAAGTTTTTGGGTTAAAACGTTAAACCAAACACCTGAATATGACGATTGTTGAGTAAAAAAAAGGTAAGTAACAAATGAGTTTAATTCTCTTTTAGTTTAAAAAATTATCTATCCTCTTTTTTATTTTTAAAAATATGTATATGCGTGGGTATTTACATTCAAAGGAGCCCTAATGGTGCGGAAGTTAAGCTCTCGGCAACTAACTGAAAGGTCCGCAGTTCGAACCCACCAGCAGCTGCTTCCGTAAAGATTTACAGCCTTGGAAACACTATGGGGCAGTTCTACTCTGTCCCATAACATCGCTACGAGTCGGAATCGACTCGACAGCAATGGGTTATTTACATTCAAATGCTATTTATATGCAGGGATATATATCACAATGTTGACAGTGGTTATTTTTATGTGATGGTATTACAGGCATTTTTCTTTTTGCTTCTTTGTATTTTCAAATGTACTCACAATTAATATGTATTACTTATAAAGGTAAAAAAGGTGTTTTAGAGACTGAAAACAGACCCAAAGCTGCCATCATTCAATGGAATTGTATTAGACAAATAAAAAACGGGGGTGGGGGGGTAGGGGCAACAATAAAAGGCTGGTGGCAACTCTGTTGCTTTAATTCTGGGTCAAGGAGCATACGTATGATCAAAGGTCGAAAGCTTATGTCGGTTCTCCTCATTATGCTTAAGAAAACATGTAGTATTTAGACCTATCTACAATAATTTTCAAACAACACTAATTTGGGTTGACAGAAAATTACATGTCAAAAATAATTAAAGTAAAAATAAGTCTTGACTAAAAAAAATTAAAAAATGGTCAGACTACCTATTCTAACAGATCCTGGAACCTGCAGAAGTCTGATATGCCCCAAGCTGTAAAAATGTCCTATAGGGTAATTTTCGGCTGGCTTATGTCACAAGGAGTCCTGGTAGCGCAGTGGTTAAGCATTTGGCTGCTACCCAAAAGGTCAGCAGTTTGAATCCACCAGCTGAAACTTGGTGAGGATTCTCATGGATCTCTGATACTTTGGTTAATATTTCTGATTTAGGTAAAAGAGCTACACAGCTGGAAGACGGGCCCACAATAATGAAAGAAGAACTAAAGTGGAAGAGTTTCTCTTGGGACTTACAGTAGTCCGTATTTTTATTACTGATACTGATATTCATGGGAAATAATTATCAGCCAGCAATTCAGGGACACAAAAGGATTACTAACCTACCTACATCAGAGTTGTCTATGAATTGACTATTCAGACTAGCCCCGGATGGCCTGCTGCCTAAGCTTGAGCTCTGTCTAATAAGCTTAGGTTTGCTTCTCGCACAACAGTAATGCTATTAGCTTCTTACTAAAGACCCAAATGTCTCTTTTTCTTTCTTTTTTTGTCCCCACTGCCCCACTTTTCTTGGCATGCCCACTCCCTTGAAAATCAGTACTCCCAGCAGCTCTTTGATCTTTGACCCAGGCTCACCCAAAAACCAAAAAACAAACAAACTCATTGCCGTGGAGTCAAGGCCGCCTTATAGTGACCCTATAGGACAGAGCAGAACTGCCCCATAGAGTTTCCAAGGAGCGGCTGGTGGATTTGAACTGCCAACCTTTCGGTTAACAGCCAAGTTCTTAACCACTGCACCACCAGGCTCACCCAAGGTCTTCTTAAACCAGTGTGCGTTTTTCTGAAGTTTCTATTCGTATGTCAAGATCCAGGTGCTGATCCATGTCCCTCAGAATCAAGGAGGAACTGCTGGCTTCGCCACAGGGGTACCTCATTAGCACCTCACCCCACGGCACGGCTTTACATTTCCATAGACGCTTGTCGTCTGAGGACATCAACACTCACCCTGGATCTCAGAACGTTCCTATCAATTTCAGGAAAGCTTCCGGACCAGTCCACAGTAATGCGCAAAATCACTGGTGGTGTTCAGAATAGAACACAAGACACTTCTCTTCACTCTAGCCACTAGATTTTGGTTTAAAGCTCACATTTTAATCATGAGACTCTCTCTCACTATGGGGTTGGAATTAGGTTTTAGGGAAAGGATATGATGGTAAAATTGACCTTAAGGATTCTGTGAGAACAGAATAATGCATGGGGCTCTAGGGAACCAACACCCAAGGGTGTCAGGTACTGTGTATCACTTTGCCCTCTTCCACTGGACTAATTCTCATTTGAGCTCTTGGGCGCCACTATAAAGTGTTAATTTCAGGGGTTTTGTTTTTCAGGTCTGTAGGCTTGGTTTACAAATCTGCCTCTCCTCTGTTACTGTTCTGTTCCTTCATTGTCGTTACTGTCTCTTTTAACATAGTTTCCATCATCGTAAACATACTGAATTCACAGTCTTCTTCAGATGTGTGACACGTGGGCTTCCGTTCGCCTGCACCGTGTGCTGCTGACCCTCCGCGTGATGGTCCACTTCCTTGCGTGGTTCGTAATGTTTAACTGTGAACGTGTGTTCAGCTGCGTTTCAGTGGCGCAGTGGTGAAGAGCTCAGCTGCTAACCAAAAACGTCAGCAGTTTGAATCCACCAGCTGCTCCTTGGAAACCCTACGGGGCGTTCTACTCTGCCCTATAGTGTTGCTATGAGTCGGAATCGACTCGACGGCAATGGGTTTGCTTTGGTTTTTTGGAACCTGCAGAAGTCTGATATGCCCGGAGCTATAAAAGTGTCCTACGGGGTAACTTTCGGCTTGCTTATTTTAGAAGGAGCCCTAGTGGCGCAGTGGTTAAGCATTTGGCTGCTAACTAAGAGGCCGGCAGTTTGAATCTACCAGCTGAAACTTGGAAACCCTACGGGGCAGTTCTACCCTGTCCTGTAGGGTGGCTATGAGTCGGAATTGACCCGACGGCAATGGGTTTGCTTTGGTTTTATTTCAGAAACTTAAGGTTTTTAATCATCCAGGACTAAATTCCATGTTAACTTTTTAGATTTCCCTCCATATCATAGTGTAAATTTGGAGATTCAATTCTTCATGGTGCCTTTTTCTCCTTTTCAATCAAGTTCCTGGGAAAAGCGTAATCCTGTATGTTGCTTTGCTGGGCTGGTGAGCGGGGTCACTTTATTCTTCCTTCAAAGACAGGGCAGCTCTTTAGCCAGCATTTCCAAGTATCTGTAGAGAGAGGGCTCCCATCCAACTCGGCCTAAAAACCCACTGCCGTCGAGTTAACTCCAACTCCTAGCGACCCTACAGGACACAGTAGAACAGCCACACAGGGTTCCCAGGATTTGAACTGCTGACCTTTTGGTGAGCAGCTGTAGCTCCCAGCAGCTTTTAACCACTATGCTAGCAGGGTTCCCAGGTCAGCCTCGTCCTCCACAATACGGAAGTCCCTTTGACTATCCTTTCTGAACGCTCCCCCTCACTTTGTAAATACAGGAAACCCTGGCTTTGTAGCCGAACCATCTGAAGCTTTTATCCTCAGTGGTGAGCATTACTTCGCTGTACGGCCGTGGGCGGTGGTGTCGGGGGGACTGCCAGCTCAGTCAATTCGCAATTTAGGAGGAACAATGATAACCTCACCTCAGCAGTAAATGATGTGGCTGTGTGAAAAGCTCTTCGTCAATTATTCGATTAGAAATCTATTAGCCATTTCCTATTCTGTTACTCAAGCCCAGTCTCTACCACCCCCTTCTTTTGGTTTCTAATGCCTCCTGAAGATGGCCCTGCACTTAACCAAACCCACTGCTGTCGAGTCGATTCTAACCCATAGTGACCCTATAGGACAGGGTAGAACTGCCCCATAAGGTTTCCAAGGCTGTAAATCTTTACCGAAGCAGACTGCCACATCTTTCTCCCAAGGAGCAGCTGGTGGGTTCGAACTGCCAACCTTCTGGTTAGCAGCTGAGCACTTAATCACGGCACCACCAGGGCTTCTCGGCCCTGAACTTAGGGTAGTTAAAACGTTTTACATCATGGATATTGAGACATGCAGTCTGTATCTCCTCCTCCTACTGCACATGCTGTGCTCTGGAGGCTCAACTCTTCCTCAGGAAACAGGCCTCACCTTGGGCTTTGGATTGCCAGCCACTCTGCATGTGAAAGTTACAGGCATTCCCTCAAAGATCTTGTAGTGTTTCAGCTTCGTCTCAAAGAACGGTGCCATTCCATTTTCCACAGGCGCATCCCCATACGGAACATCATCGCCCGATTCGTCCACAGGAGACCTTTCTAGCCTGTACTCTATTTCACTGATGAGTCTCTGTTCACAGCTGGAGACTTTGTATTCCTATGTCACACAAAGAAAGGTCAGGTCAGCAATCAATCTCGGTCCCTTGTGCTACAGCGCGTCTCCCCAGTCTTGCCCTGCTCTCCAATGAGACAGTCTAGAGACAGTGATACTTCCTACCATGGAGCTACAAAACAGAATCTGGCCCATTTCAATTCCATATACAACAGAAAACATCTGGAAGTAAGTATCTATGATATTTCATATTGTCTGCAAGTCCTATCGTCCAAACAAACGAATCTCTGAAGATGGGCTTCTATTTTCTCTCTTTGGGAGCAGGGAGAAGGGCAGAAAAAGGCAAAGGCTATGTATTCCTGAATTGTTTATAAAAATAAAGTGCAGTGGAACACTGATTCCTTCCTTAGGGTAAACATCATTTCAGAGGAGTGCGTAGCTCCAGAAGGCTACAGGCCATGTGGCAGGGAGCTGCAATATTACACAGCATTTTATCAAAGGAATGACAGAAAAAATGGCACCACGTTTTTGCTTTTCACTCACACTGCCTCTAGACCCCTCCTTAGCTCAGCAGGTACTAGGAACTATTTCCACCCTCCTTAAAAGAAAAACAGGACTGAAAGTCCATTCAAATTTCTGGTTAAAAAAAAACAAAAGCAAAGCAAGGAACTTATCAACATCCTCTGGGGATTAAGGTAGAGTCTACAGTTCTGTTACTTACAAGTCCAATGCAGAGAAGGCAGCCCATTTAAAAAATTTTTCCCATTTACTAATAAATACAAGATTTTTAAACAAGGTTTTCTCTTAAATAAGTTACTCAACCTTAAAAAAAACCACACACACAGTTTGTTGGGTTGAGGGGAGACAAACCATGGAATGAGTAAAACTGCAAAAAGTCTACCACAAGTTGTTCTGTTTTGTCTGAGTCCTATCAAATTCAGCAATTTAAGAACTAGCACCTGTACTTTCCTAGATGGGTGTAACAAGTGAAAACCTTCCCACGATTTAAGGTTCAGAGTACCCACTGATGACAGTATTATATTCAACTTTGTAAATACATGAGAAAAAATCATATCGTAGTAATTTTGTTAATCTGATATTAAACTAAAATATATACCGATCACAACATTGTCTTTAAGTCCTATCATCCAAAGAAAAGTTATAATTAACATAGGGCAGAAAAGACAGATACAGACAGATATCCAGGCAAAAAAGGAAGAACAGACAAAAATAGACACAGTGAAAGATGAAGGAGAAGAAGGGTGAAAAGCTTAACCTTTTGACCATCCAGAGGACTCCCTACAGAAGCATGAGGAGACCCAATTTCCTGTAACGGCAGAAGAAAAGAAATGAAGACTAATAATAGAAACAGTGAGAATATAGCAGTAAGATTTCCAATTTTCTTTAGGTAAAACTTTTTTGGTAGCAATATTTAACACCCAGAAACACTTTCAGATTTTGAAGCTTACCCCATTTCTCAACAGACATGAGAAAAGAGACTACTTGGTACTTTCAACTTGTCTTAAAAAGCGTTCTTTTAACTTTCCAGATAACATAACTCCCAACAGAAGTTATGTAGTCTATTTGGAGACTCCAGGTAGAAGCAGCAGAGATTATAGAACAGCTTTACAGCAAATTCACAAAGTGATTCTTTTGGTTCCAGCAGGGGAACAAAAACAGCATTTCTGATTTCTCTGACGAGTGATTTATATCTACATACGACAAAGAAGATAAGGGCAGTCTTTTCTGTACGTGAATATTTTGCTTTGGACGTTAAGCCTACAATATCCACTACCATTTCAAGCAATTCCAATGATAATATTTTTCTCCATACAAAAATGTTCTGCATTAAAGCACAAATCAGGAAAAGCAGAAAGATACTTGAGAATAAACTTATCAGTGAGAAGATAGAGTACAGGTGTCGATGACTGAAATAAGCCCATGAATCACTTAACACTGTGTCTGCTACATACTATGTGCCCAATAAACATGAGCTGTGAGGTTGACTGATGAGATTAATACTGTGTCTCTGTGACCTGCCCTCTACTTTTCACAAAGTGACCTCAAAAACAGTGTCCAAAAAGAGCACGGGGAGAAGGGACAGAGGAAGAGTCATTTTTCGAAGAAGTCCGAAGCAACATTGTACCTGATTTGCTGTTTCCTCTTCTGGCTCCTGAATATTAAAGACATTTGCACTGTTAGCACCTAGGAGTCGACGAGCCATTCTTTCTTCATATGTCAACCTCTAAACAAAGTCACAAAAGAACACAGAATTAGGAAAATCACGGTTGTACACTGCCTCAAGGAAAAAAAGAAAGTCTTGATGTTTTCCGTACCCATTCTCTCTCCCTCTTCAGATACCTGCGTGTAAGAGGAAGTCTGTCTCTTCCCCTTCCCTCAGTTGTCCTCCCTTCACCTCCCCTTTTGGTCCTAATGCCCTAATCCAGAGTTGGGAGATAGGGCAAGCAACCTTGAGAGCCGGCAACTGGTACACCACAAATTTAAGGTGAATAATAAGCAAAAGCAATTAAGGCCAAAACCACATGGAAAATATATGTCATATACTTATCTTTAATTAAAACAGAGAGAGAAGAAAGAGGATTTCCAACAGCAAACCATTATTTATAGGAAACATTTTATTCATAGCTCTCCCTGGGCTTCCGTACAACCAAGTCAGCTCCACAGAGAAGGGAAGTTTTCGACCAGCTAGCTGGCAGTGATGGCCCTCTCACTTCTAAGACCATTTCCTAGGCTGCTGGGTAATGCGGGTAAGTATAATAATCCACAAAGAATGATTAGCAACAGAACTGTGAAAGATATTTGCCAAAGCTAACACCCACAATTCATGATTCTACTCACAGGACTAAGGTGCGCCTGACCCAAGCCATGGTATTTCCAATCACCTCATCTGCATGTGAAAGCTGGACAATGAATAAGGAAGGCCGAAGAAGAACTGATGCCTTTGAATTATGGTGTTAGTGAATAATGCTAAATATACCATGGACTGCCAGAAGAACAAAGAAGTCTGTCTTGAAGAAGCACAGCCAGAATACTCTTTAGAAGCAAGGATGGTGAGACTTCATCTCACGTACTTTGGACATGTTACCAGGAGGGACCAGTCCCTGGAGAAGGACATCATGCTTGGTAAAGTAGAGGGTCAGTGAAAAAGAGGAAGACCCTCAACGAGATGGAATGACACAGTGGCTGTAACAGTGGGCTCAAGCATAGCAACAATTGTGAGGATGGTGCAGGACCGGGCAGTGTTTCGTTCTGATGTACGGAGGGTTGCTATGAGTTGGAACCGACTCAATGGCCCCTAACAACAATAACTCACAGGCAGACTGCTTGCCCTTCAGGCAAAGAGAGTGGTAGTGATTTTACATCTAGCGACTGGCACTTCGGAACAGGTCAAAATCATTTCTTCTAGGCCATTCTTATCTAAGGGAAATGCTAACATTTTCTTGTTCTGCCTTTTGGGGTGATTCCTGCTCTTGTTCTCTTGCTGTAGGCTCGAAAGTGCTTTAGAATTACAGATCAGGGTGAATGTTCAGAGGCCACCTGGCCCATCAGGGCCATTTTACAAAAAAGTGTTAGATGCAAAATAGTAAGAAACCCAGGAATAGAGAATAATAGTGAAGTAGAATCTAATCAAAAAATTCAGATGTTATTTCAGATAAATTTCTGAATATAGATGCAAAATCTATCAGAAACTTTCTAGTCAGGAAAATATGTTGGGCAAACTTACAATTTCCAGTAATTGTTGGTTCCAGTCCCAGTTGGAACCAGGAAGTAAGACAAGCCAAATGCTAAATTATATATAGTCCCAAAATTGAAATTATTTTATTTAATAAAGAAGGGGTAGTGGGCAAAGAGAAGCAGGGGCAGATGACGGAATGACGCGTGGAATGTCTCCGCTCAGTATTTAATTTTCTTTTGTCTATTATAAAACTCAGTACGTTCAATTTTCAAAGAGAACTTTAAATTTCTGCTGTCTTAAAAACCCTTCCTAATCTTTTCACAAATAATTGTTATCAACATTGAACAGACTGGAGTTATTTCCACCCTGTTCCTTATGAGCGGGAATACCCATTTGCTATCTATTCCCTTTCCGTCACTAGACTGCATCTGCTGTCATTAGATGCCAATGGGACTTCGCAGTTTTGTTTCTGAATCACTAGGCCAGGTGGCTATATAAGCCCTTGTTTGCAGAAGCCAAAAATAAGTGGCAGAACAGTATGGAAACACTAGGAAAAAGTTCTGCTTGAGAAATTCATTTTCTAAAGAGAGAAATCTTACTTTTCTTCTCCTTTTAAGCTCTCATAGATGGAAATCTATGGAACTTATTGTGAATGTCAGTCACTGCTAAACAGATAAAAAGAAATAATATTTATACATATCTATATCACAGGTAAATGTAAGTAATATAAAAATATAAATAATATGGTATGAATCAATAATAGCTTATAAAATCTTCCCTTAGTCAAGAGAATCTTAGTCCATAAGGAATATTTCAACAACCAACCCAAAAAAAAAATCTGGCGAGATGACTTTACCTAACTTGAAAAGGTTCACGTAAGTATTTGTTTTAATCTTTCAAAGGCTTTAGTTGACAGAGCCAGGGAAAGCTTCCAGAGTATGTACATTTACACATGCAATCAATTATTTCAGGGAGAAAGCATTTCCCCTTTGTGAAAATCTTCTATAGTCAGTGGAATGAGTAACTAACACAAATTCTCATTAGAATTGTAATCTTCCTGAACTTAGATTAGGATGCTTTAATAATGAAAACCAGCATTCAATGTCTTTCCTCTATTCCCACCTTCCCAATCAAACTCGGTCTGTTCTCCTGTATTTATTTATTAATGCTTGACAGTGAAAACACCCAGAAAACATGATTAACAGAGTTTTCTGCTCTGGTTTTACATGAAGAGTCCTTTTTCCTCTTCCACTTAAGAGCCAGGCAACTTTTTGTGATGCTGATTCCACAATAAAGTCATAAAAGGCTCCTTCTCTTTATCTGGGGAATCTCGTTTGCTAGACCTGCTTTCCCATCTCCTTAAAATACCCTGATGTCGTAAGAAAAGGGTTAAAAAAAAAGTGATGAGGAAACATTTAATTCCAATGGAGAAAACTTTTCATATGGTTTTTACTAGACCCATTTATCTACTCTATAATTCTGTATTCTTAAAACGTGTATTTTTATTTGCCCATTGCCGTTGAGTCCATTCCGACTCATAGAGACCCTATAGGACAGAGTAGAGCTGCACCATAGACTTTCCAAGGAGTGCCTAGTGGATTCGAACTGCTGACCTCTTGGTTAGCAGCTATAGCTCTTAACCCCTACATCACCAGGGTTTCCAAAACGTATGTATCTCTATATAAATCAATCTATCTTTTTTTTTTCTTTTTTAAGTTTGGTTGTCTGGCCCTAACAAACTAGAAGAAGACTGGAGAACAGCATTGCTCTCTCAGTACTGAATCGATGCCCTGGAACGGTCTGCTGGAACAGAACTGGACCTCAGCATGGTTGCCCTAGTGAAGGCGCTTCCACGGAGAAGCAGTACGTATCATAGACCCCACATTCGCCTTTGGTACTTGAGTTCCCATCGACTGCTCCCGGGAAGATGCAAACCATTCAGAGCACACTTCCAGCCTTCTTCCCTGACCCCATCCAGTGGCAGTGGAATCCCCATGTCCCCCTTTTTTTTTTTTTTTAACATTGCCACTACTCCTTCATTGCACTCGCGACCCTGATTTATTCCATTGAAAAGCAGCTCTCTCTCCTTCCTACCTCTCCAACTCTCCATTTTCACCCCAAGAACGGTTCAGGAGAAGAAGGGAGCAGGGAACACCGAGTGAAGGAAGGCATTTCACGTCCTCCCTTTTCCCAGATTCTAGCCTGGATACTAATGCTGAGATTCGGGGGTAATAAAACTCATTTTGGGGGCAAATCTTAAAAACATAGGTCTTAGTGAGGTGAGGGAAGAGCTTTTCCATGTGGGCAGAGAATACTCCACGCCCCAGTCTATCTCTCAGTACCGGCTGCCCGTTGTTCAGGAGGTCCTCCTTGAAGCGAAGTTTTCGTTCCAGGTCTTGAATGACAGCATCCTTCGAGCCCTGGATCTCCTCATCAGAGGCTATTCTAGCAGTTCTACCAGCTTTCTTTGGAAATCCCCTGCAGGACAAAAACACAAGGCAGTACAGTCAGTTGTCAGGCGTATAAATCCACGGGAAACATTGAAGCCCAACGAAGAGACGGTGCAAGGTGTCAATGTGTCACTCCCACTCTTTATTTTAGGCTCCATCCACTGCAACGAATTATGGAAAAAGCCAGAAAGCTGGCTGCAGCAGCTCAGGTAACACTAACTGGAACCAGTTCTTGGAGAAAGTTCAAATACCTTTAAGGGGCAGTATACCTCACTGGAAGGAGCCCTGGTGGCGCAGTAGTTATGTGCTTGGCTATTAACCAAAAGGCTGGTGGTTCAAGCCCGCCAGCCACTTCGCAAGGAGAAAGATGTGGCAGTCTGCTCCCGTAAAGATTTACAGCCTTGGGAATCCTACAGGGCAGTTCTACTCTGTCCTATAGGGTCGCTATGAGTCATAACCAACTTGACAGCAATGGGTTAGTTAGTTATACCTTAGTGGTAAATGCCAAGGATAGAGAAGGCCTATATTTTTGTCCCAAGGAGGCAGCAATGGAAAGTGAAAAAATGATGTGATTTGTAATCAGGTAAGTTTAAAATCTGGCTCTGCCTTGTACTAGGTTCTGACTTTGGGAAAGTTTTATAACCTCTCATAAAATGGGTATGAAAATATAGACCACATGATTATCGAAGAGCCCTGGTGGCGCACGGGTTAAGAGCTCAGCTGCTAATCAAAAGGTCGGCAGTTTGTATCCACCAGCCGCCCCTTGGGAACCCTACGGGGCAATTCTACTCTGTCCTATAGGGTCACTAGGAGTCGGAATCGACTCAACGGCAATGGGTATGATTGTTGAGAGCGTCTGAAAGACAACGTATTTCTTTCATACTTTGACTTACTCCTTCTGATCCTCAGTAACTCATTTATTCCACAGCAGTGCCTAGCTCATTCCAAGCAAATATTGTTACCTTCCATCTCTACCCCTTCTTTCCTAAATTAATTAGGGTAGGCCAGTGTTAGATGATGCGAGGGGATTTCATACTAGGGATATGCCCTTGGGAGGTCTGCAGGCACTGCTCTACCTGGTGCACCCCAAACCTCCCAAGCCTCCTGGAGAGCCTAGAGCTCTGAGGACAGGTGGCACCTCAGGTCCCTTCTTCCCCAGGACAGCAATAATGTCCTCAGTCCTGTGAGCCAGGTCACTGGTACTGGATGTTTGATGGGTGTGGAATCACTATGGTCGATGCCACAAGCAGATCACGTCCCATTTCTCTTCCTTTTCCCTCACAGGGCGATGGGTAAAGATTAATGAGAAACGAAATACTGCACGATGGTGAAGATAAAGGAACCAGAGCTACCCAGATCAACAAGGTTAAACTTCAAAAACATCCTACTGACTTACAAAAAGCGAGTCACAGAATACATACAATATGATTCCATTTATACACAGGCAAATGCTAAACCGTCAACCTCCAAGCGTGGTCCCTAGAGCAGCAGCATCAGCATCACCTGAGAAATTGTCGGAAATGCCGATTGTCGGCCTCAGTCTAGACTTACTGCATCAGAAACTCTGGGTTGACACCTGGGAATCTGTGTTTAACAAGTCCTCTAGGTGATTCTGATACATGTGAGAGTTTGAGAAACACAGCTTAGGGAGGCATACATACTTGGTAAAAACTATAAGGAGAAGTAAAAGATTGATTAACTCAGAAATCACCTTCTGAGGTATTGGGTACCTCTGGGGGAGAATAGGGGATGTAATTGGGAAGGGTCACTGTTCATAAAAAAAAAAAAAAAGAAAAACCAAACTCATTGCCATCAAGTTGAGCCCGACTAATAACGACCCTACAGGACAGGGTAGAACTGCCCCATAGAGTTTCCAAAGAGTGGCTGGTGGATTCGAACTGCTGACCTTTTGTTTAGCAGCCGAGCTCTTAACCACCGTGCCACCAGGAGGCTTCATAGGTACTAGAAATGGGTAGGATTTTCATCATTGTTTTTTAAACTATACATTGTATGTACTCCCTTATTTGTACGTTTCACGATAAGATATTTCTAAGTTAAAAAAGTTTCATGTACATCTGTCAAGGTATACCATGGCTGACTCCACATCACTGATATGATGAAGCACCAGGAGAGGCCAAGGATATAAATGAACATGTGTTCACCAAAACCTCTGCTTTCCCCATTTCACCCCCAGTGCTGGGAAGACAATAAGCACTAAGTATGCAGTAGAGAATACGAGGATCCTTGAACAGCTCTGTGCCCCAGGAGTACCAGCAACCTGGTAACATCAGTTCTATCACAAGCTCCTGGTTGCCATTTTTCTTCTTGTCCACTCTCCTTTATTTCCTTGCCGACTTTTCACCCTTCAATGTGCTCGGGAGGTGAGTGGTCTCAACCTCCTGGATAGTGATGAGTTTAGCCAAGGCAGGTGTATGACTAGGGGATTGCATTGGGCAAATCTGCTACAAAAGACCTTTTTAAAGTGTTAAAAAGCAAAGATGTCACCTTGAAGACTAAGGTGCACCTCACCCAAGCCATGGTGTTTTCAATCACCTCACCTGCATTCCAAAGCTAGACAATGAATAAGGAAGACAGAAGAAGAATTGACACCTCTGAATTATGGTGGGGGTGGGAGTGAGAGCATGAGGTGCTGTCATGAATTGAACTGTGTCCCCCAAAAATATGTGTATCAATTTGGCTAGGCCATGATTCCCAGTGTTGTGTGATTGTCCACCATTTTGTCATCTGATGTCATTTTCCTATGAGTTGTAAATTCTACCTCTATGATGTTAATGAGGCGGGATAGGTGGAAGTTATGTTAATTAAGCAAGACTGAATCTACAAGACTGGATTGTGTCTTGAGCCAATCTTTTGATACATAAAAGAGAGAAGTGAGCAGAGAGACGGGGGGACCTCATACCACCAAGAAAGCAGCGCTGGGAGCAGAGTGTGTCCTTTGGACCTGGAGTCCTTGCACAGAGCTCCTAGTCCAGGGGAAGATTGATGACAGGGACCTTACTCTAGAGCCAACAGAGAGAGCCTTCTCCTAGAGCCAACACCCTGAATTTGGACTTCTAGCCTCCTAGACTGTGAGAGAATAAACTTCTGTTTATTAAAGCCATCCATTTGTGGTATTTCTGTTTCAGCAGCACTAGATGACTAAGACAGGTGCCCTAGTTAAAATGTTTCCATCTCTAAAAAGGAAAAAATGAAGAAATGCCCCTCTTCTTTCACTGGCTATCACTGTGGCAGGAATGTAATGCCAAAACGGCTGCAGCCATTTTGTGATCATGAGGGGAGATCTCCTAACATGCCAATGATGTTGTTAGATGCCATCGAGTCTGTTCCGACTCACAGGGATCCTATGTACAACAGAAAAAAACACGGTCCTGCGCCATCCTCATAATCGTTGTTATGCTTCAGCCCAGTGTTGCAGCCACTGTGTCAATCCATCTCATTGAGGGTCTTCCTCTTTTTCTCTGACCCTCTACTTCACCAAGCACAATGTCCTTCTCCAGGGCCTGGTCCCTCCTGATAACATGTCCAAAGTATGTGAGACATAACGTTGCTACCCTTGCTTCTAAGAAGCATTCTGGCTATACTTCTTCCAAGAGGGATTTGCTCATTCTTTTGGCAGTCCATGGTATATTCAATATTTTCGACACCATAATTCAAAGGCATCAATTCTTCTTCAGTCTTCCTTACTCATCATCTAGCTTTCACATGCGTAGGAGGCGATTGAAAACACCACGGCTTGGGTCAGGTGCACCTTAGTCTTCAAGGTGACATCTTTGCTTTTTAACACTTGAAATAGGTCTTTTGCAGCAGATTTGCCCAATGCAATGTGTCTTTTGATTTCTTGACTGTTGGCTTCCATGGGTGTTGACTGTGGATCCCAGTAAAATAAAATTCTTGACTAGTAAAATGAAATTCTTGACAACTTCAGTCTTTTCTCCATTTATCATGATGTTGCTCATTGGTCCAGTTGTGAGGATTGTTGTTTTCTTTGTGTTGAGGTGTAATCCATACTAACGGCTCTGGTCTTTGATCTTCATCAGTAAGTGCTTCAAGTCCTCTTCACTTTCAGCAAACAAGGTTGTGTCATCTGTATATCACAGGTTGTTAATGAGTCTTCCTCCAATCCTGATGCTGCGTTCTTCTTCATATAGTCCAGCTTCTTGGATTATCTGCTCAGCATACAGATTGAACAAGTATGGTGAAAGGATACACCTATATGCCAGTGATGGTAGACTGCAAACATGGAGAGAACCTGGGTTCCTGATAATGTTTCTGTGACAGTGTTAATCTACCATGGAACCAACCTACCCCAGATTTGTTACGGAAGTGAAAAAACCCCATGTATTTAATCTACTTGTAGTTAAGTCTTCTGATACTTGTATGGAAAACATTCTAACTGATAAAAACTGCTTTTCCAGGTCCTTCTTCCTAATCATTTGCCCCTGAAGTTCAAATAGGATGATACTGGGCTTTGAAATGAAAGAAAAAAACAGAACATTGTGATATCTTGTGTTCATAATATCAAACAAGTGATTAGTAAAGCCTTAATTTGTACCTGTTTCAACTAGGAATTGATCAAGAGTTCAGTGAGCTGAGCAAGGAACCTGAGATATGTTGACAGCAAGGATCACAAGAATTATGACTTATGACTTCAGTTTTTGGTATCATGCAACCCCTTAACAAAAATGTGCCTAGTTCGCCCATTCTCCTCAGCCTGGAAGCCTCTCTCCCCTACTCTTTGTCTCAGGGCTCAGTCGTCAGCCTTCAGGGCTTCAGTTTAACGTCTCCTCAGAAAGGATATCCTGACTAAGTCTACCCCATCCGTTACTGTACCATGCTTGTTTTCTTCACCATAGCGCTTATCACACTTTATCAGTAGATGTTCTTTTTTAATGGTCTCTCCCTCACCATTTTTAAAAATTTATTTGTTAATTACAATGTTTGTCTAATAGCAGACACTCAAACATTTGTGGGCCAAGTAAGTGGGTGTGCTATGCCTCTCCACTTCTA